TGTACATATGGAGTGTGTCCCACAGAAGTTGAGGGAAACTTGAGTTGTAAGGGTACAGAGGTGAGGTTGATTTCAAGTAAAGGAGGTGGAGTGGGAAGGATGCGGAGGGACTCATTACACATCGCCTTAGGAAACAACGGTGAGAGATCTTTTTAAGAGAACCTACTACAGTCAGTTCAGGAAGGTCTTGAACAGTGAAGTCAGAAGGTTATCTTTAAACTTCACTTTATAGTCACTGGGAACCACTCCACATTGCCAGTTACTGCTGTCCATTGTTATAGTAGCCACAATCGATCCTTAACAGTGCACAAGCACATTCTCAGAAGGAAACTTCTTTGCACAAAACCAAAGGAGCTTTGCCTGTGACCTGCCAAGAATGAGGCCTGGGAATGGGCGGAAGTGAAAATAGCCAGGTGGCCTCTGGTGTGCATGCACAGACCTGAAGGAAGCAGCCCTTGCTCACCCTGGGAAGGGTTATGGAAAAAAGGTGTCTGGGGGTAGCTAGGTGCTGGTATCTCATGTCTGTCATCCCAGCTACTCAGGAGGCTGAGATCTGAGTATTGCAGTTTGAAGCCAGCCTGGGCAGGAAAGTCTGTGAGACTCTGTCCAACTAACCACTGAAAAGCCAGAGGTGGAGCTATGGCTCAAGTGGTAGAGCAGTAGCCTCAAGCAAAAAAAAAAAAGTCCAAACAAACAAAAACAAAAACAAAAAATCAGGGACAGTGCCTAAGCCTAAGTTCAAGCCCCAGGATCAGTACCTAAAAAAAAGGAAAGTAAAAGAAAAAAAAGTTCTGGGAAAGCAATTAGGAGATGATGAGTCTCTAGTAGGAGGCAATACAGATTTCTGAAAGTCATGGAATTGTGAGAAAGGAAATTATTGCAAGATTTGAGAAACATCATAAAACAGGGGAGACTTCACTGTATCTAGAAATTAGGGGAAGAGATTATGAAACATAAACTGGATCTTTGTGTAAGGATGAGCTAGATAATACAATGCAGGGAACGCGGCTAGCCCACTGCTTAAAACACTGGGAGTGCTTTAAGTCAGTGAAGGTTCCGTTCTACTTTGTAAGACTGAGTCACAGAGGCAGGTGGTGAAGAGACCTCAGAGCTGTGCCCAGCCATTTGAATGAATAAATCAGCTCTGTCAGTGACCCTGCCTGGAGAGCCATGACCGTTCATCTGGCTTTTCTGAGATGGTAAGCAAATTAATTTCCTTTCTTTAATTTGGCAAGTGAGTAAAAACAGAATCCTGTGTTATTACATTAGAAGATGTAAATGAAATCCTACAAACACGTTTGTGCCGAAAGCAGGAACTTTTAAATATTTGTCCCTGATTTTAATCCAGTGTTCATCTCTAAGGAACATCCAATTGGCAGCTGTGATCACTGAATCAATCCACAAGCTACAACTTATATATCTATGTAATTTATTTATATATAATTCATATATCTAATTATTTTTATGTACTATGTAACTATTTTATTTATAATTCACACACATTTTTCTATCTATCTATCTATCTATCTATCTATCTATCTATCTATCTATCTATCTATCTATCTTTCTATCTATCTATCCAACCATCCACCTAGGAAGTCATCAGATCCACTTAGAAGAAATTCTATTATTAAGTCAAAAATGCTTCTCAAGCTATATTGTAGCTTTCTAGGTCCAGGAGGCTATTTAATGAAATTCATACAAAGCAGTCAATTCACTTCATGTCAATAGAAAGGCATTGTTCAAATTACCCATTTATTAATTCTTAAGAGGTTAATAAATAACTTACTTGGGATAAAAAATAAATCACTTCAGAAAACTAGTTGAGTTCCCTGGCATATAGAAAAGTTAACAGACACATAAAGATTCATGGAAACACTTTGGTATCAAAGCTCCGGGATCTACCCCAACCCTAGATTCTTTCATCTGTGTTCATACTAGATTTTGATTGGGCCAGGTCCAGCTAAAAATAATTTTCTTAAAGGTGACATCCCATCTTTTCTACCAATTGGAGGTCTCAGCTCCTCTACAGGAGCAAATAACTATACACACACACACACATATACCCATATATAATTATTATATAAACTATAAATGTATACATACATCATACATCATATATTCATATATATATATATATATATATATATAATCTTGACCTCTTTTCCCACATAAGCATACCATTTGTATTCTTTCACAGACAACACATTTATTTGTTTTTGTGCCAGTACTGGGGCTTGTTAACTTAGGGTCTGGGCTTTGTCCCTTAGTTTTTTCACTCAAGGCCCCACCTCTTGTGCCACAGCTCTATGTCCATCTTTTTGGTGGTTAACTGATGATATGAGTCTCACAGACTTTCCTACTGGGGCTGGCTTTGAACTATGATCCTCACATCTCAGCTTCCTAATCAGCTGGATTACAGGTGTGAGCACCAGCATAGAGGAACATTTGCTTTTGTTTATTGCCTTTAGAAACCAGAACCCAGATTCTACTTGGCCTGTATTATCATATCCCTAAATCACCAACAGTTCTATTATCACAATGATTTGATTATAAAGAAATAGACATTTTGCTGGTGGGCATGCATTTAATATTCACTAGTAATTTTGCCTTATTATATCCCCTGATAAACTGTCATTTGCCTTAGCTCTTAAGAAACAACCCAAAGAAACACAAAGACAGGTGACAGAAGAATCACAAATACATACACAAACAGGATTTGGGCAATCGAGTGTTAATATTGGTGTAAGCTCATTCGTTTTAGTAAGCCAGCTAGAAATACTCAGGCATCCGGTGTCAAGCTACTATTGTACACAGTATCTTCTCCAGGGAAGGGGAGGCAGTGAGACCCCCCCTTCTCACCACCTGGTTAAGAACATGCTTGCTTTCATGTGTGCTCTTGAGCTGCCTTACTTCCAAATAAAAATAGAAACTAGTTTACAGCACCACACGGGGCTCTAGCGTATTATGAGCCTATCACTGCTTTCCTTTGATTTCTTATCTATTCCATTAACTCAATAACATAGAAGGCAAAGCTGGGGCAGGGTGGGGGGAGGAATGGGGAACAAACTGTAGGAGGGCTCCTTGGCAAAAAAAAAAAAAATCCATGCAAGACCTCTAAGCTGGGGCTTTAACTTATCTAATAAAAGCCAGTTACATGGAAGCTAATACTTCATTGTACCCCCCCCATCCCCCTTTATTAAAGATCATAAGTACTGCAACTGGGGAGTAGAGGAAAATAAAATAAATATATGGAGGAGAGAAGGTAAGAGGCAATAAAGACTTTGGCTTATCTATTTTCTCAAGATTTAGGAAGCACTTGAAAGCAAAACTCACAGACAAGCATTTTAAAAAATCCATAACAAAGGCTCCTTGCTCTTCTGCAAACCTAGTGGTCCTTTCTAGAGGCAGTAATCCTGCCAGACTTCCTAGAGGAATATAAACAGCTTAACCTAGGCATAATCAGGAGGATGCCAGCTACTACCCCTGCCAATATTGTACTTTTATATCATTTAGGAATTCAGAGAAAATAAAAAAATAGATCAATGAATCCACTTCCTCTCTCCACAACTGCCCAAAGAAAAACAATATCAGAACTCAAACTCCAACAAGCAAACTAAAGGCAAAGTGTTCCACCTAGAGCCTGTTTTCATGAATCATAGTGGATAAGAGCTTCTCTGAGAAACGAATATGATTTTTAGTTCATGCTTACAAGTTTGCAGCTTGCAAGAAAAAAAAAGAATGCAAAAAGGTATTGCCCCTAGTGTAATTAACAATGTTAATCTTTTTTTCTCTTCCTCTCTACAGTGATAAAGGAGTCATTTTTATATTTAATTAATGCAGAGGATCATTTTGGAAACTGGCTAATGAGCCTCTGATCACATTACCATGAAAATGTGAATTAACATTGAGACTGGTGTTTCGTGTGTAGCAAATCCACTTTGTAATTAGCCCACTGCGAAATGAATCACGGTTGGCGAGAGGGCGGGTAGAATCTGAAAGAACCGGTAGATAGTGGGCTACTGGACCAAACAGCAAACATCCCAAACATTTTTTTTATCAGTCATCTTATCTAAAAACAAAACCAATAGAATTACATCCGGGGCAGGATGAAAGATGGACAAATAAACTTTATTTGCCAGACAAGACAAAAACATTTGAATATTCACCCCCAGGCAAACCTGCTCAAATAAAATGGCAAACTAAGAAATTCTATTACAACTATGAAGATTGAGCATCTTATTTTTATTCTGAGGAGTCCTCCATATACACACTAAACAGACATCTGAATTTGCACACTTTTCCTATATCACACATAGATAGATACTTTGACAACCTCTTAAAATCAACATTTTGTGCTAAACAGATGAAAATATTAAAAAGGACCCAAGAACAAGTAGAAAAGGAAATTCCCTTTTCTCTTTCTTAAACCAAGACATTTCATCAATTTTTTGTTTTTCTGGTAGAATACAAAAACACCAAATCTTGCTCTTAAACCAAAAACAGCAATTTCTAATGAATCAAATAATTTCCTCTGGCTAACAAGATTTGACAAGAAACTTTTCCTGTCTATTCAGAAATAACTGAGATCACAGAGCTATTAAATCCCCAACATTTATGCAGACAAAAAAATGCAATCCATTTTCAGATACAGATTCCAAAATGAAAAGGGTCTGTCTCTCCAAAGATTACAGGCAAAGATTTCACTGTTACCCCTCTTATATGACTGACAGCTTGGCAGTAGATACACAAAATGTTTAAAAAAAAAAAAAAAGAATCCCACAGGAAGTCATCTGAAAGGGGTGTGGCAAGAAAACTGAAAACTACCACCCCAAAAGCCTTCCCCCTACCCCCCAAAAGAAGCCCCCAAGCAGCTCATTGCCTTGCCCTTAGTACTGAAGAGCACAAATAAAAGCTAGCCAGAAAGCATCCTTATCAATCTTGCAGACAAACACAAAGCGTGGCTGGTTTTTGCTGCTAGTCTAAGACCTGCAACTCACCTGAGAAACTTCATAGAGCAGTTTGTAGTGTTCCTCTCTTTTCTGAAAAGTGCACAAATTGCAACCCATTCTAAGAAGCAGGGACAGGAGGAGAGAGAGAGGAGGGAGAGAGAGAGAGAGAGCAAAAATCTTCTAATTTCCCCAGGACTGAAAGGCAAGTGAACTGAACTCTCCAGACTCCACTACTGGTTTTCAACAGTCACTTCATTCCAGAAACACAAGACAAACCGCTGCTAGCTGGAAGCCTAAGCCTGGCTGGTGTGCAGCGGCAGCATGCTCTTCTTCGCTTGCCTCTAAGTAGCTCGCACTCACCGACACACACACACACACACACACACACACACACACACACACGAGTTTTTCAGTCAGTTCATGGCAACAGTCCCCCTGTCTCTGCATCAGTGCACATGACTACACAGATTCCGGCTCATGAATATTAATTAGGGCCTCATTGATTATTCATGACAGAGCATGTTAGCAGGGAGGGGGTGTCATAGCTGCGGCTGATGACAGATGAATATTCACTAATTAAGAGGCAAATGTAGTGTGGTTAAACAAAATTCACTTGTGTCAATACCATCTCTGTTTATTAAGGATAGAAAGGGTGAGCACAGGGCATTTCCAAAAAGAGCAGACACTTCATTTTCTCCATTGATAGAAGCTACTGGCATGGGAATTAGACAGGCAGAAACACAAGTATAGTAGTTCTTTACCTCCTTTTGCCACAACAAGAAGAAATATTTTCAGCATTACCAGATGTAAAGGAAAAGGAATAGGAGCAATTATTTATAGGTATAAAAGAAATGCAGAAGCAAAGGAAATTTAGGGAAGGGTGATAGAAGAAAGGAATAGAAGGTTAGGGGGCTTAGTATTTAGTTTGTATTCTGATCCTACAAAAATAACAAAGTAGTTCCTAGGTAAATACTGTTACCTACCAGGCATATTCTCTTGCCCTAAATAAAGAACATTGAAGCAAGTATACAGATATGTCTACAGATAATAAGTATTTTAATTAGATAATCAGAACATACCCATTAAATATAAATTTGAAGCCATGCAGGCCTATATTTTAAAATTAGCTAACTATAAAGACCTTTCCCTCAGAACATTTCAAATGCATATGGTATTTATGCTAATTTTATTAAAGTCATATATAATATTTTCAGAAAGCTGACGCGGGCAATATTTAAATTCTAAGGGAATGCACAAGGACTCCACTTAGGATTCCATATTTGGAGTTCACACTTTGCAAAGGTGAACCGACTTAAAAAATGAAGCTGCGCTATTTAGAAGCTTCGATGTTTAGATAACAGAAGTAACACTTTGACTTCCGCATACTCACAGGACTTACGGTAGATTGCCAGCTTGCAGTTTTAAAGATAGATGACTAACAGCCAAAGCAGATAATAAAAGAAAATTCCTTTTGTTCCCATTCAGATTTATCTACCACCTCTGCTAATTAAGAAGTATGTTCCTTCTTCCAGCACATCTTTAAACTGGACAGGATAGCAGGTGGGTTGGAAAGCAAAAATAATTACTTGGGAACTGATGACTCTGGTTAGGAATTACATTGGATCGGAAGGATTTTTAATAGCACCAACACTTATGGATGGCAACTTTAGGCGGGGGAGAGAGGGTCCAATTCCCTAAAAGTGCTTTGTCAAATGTGTAGAATCAATAGCAGGAAATGATTCTAATGAGTACTAATTGTTAACAAATTGGCTTTGCAAAAAAAAAAAAAAAAAGGAAAAAAGAAAGAAAGAAAAAAAGCAACACCTCCACACCAGCAAGTTAGGAAGAAGATGAGCTATCATCTGCTGCACAGCAAACATTTCCTCCTGGGAGGTAATAATCCGATTTTCTGGACCTAATTTCACCTAACAGCCTGGATGAAAGCCAACGAGAGGCATCATAATTGGGAACCTGGAATGTGAGCAAAGTTCACCAGGACTTCCTGCAAATTAGAACCCACTTGTAGGAGATACTCATTAAGTCTCAATTCATTTTTTTTGTGTGGGGGGAAGTATATTTAAGGGGGTATGTTAAGGTACTTTTATGAAAATGAAAATCAATGGTGGCCACAAGCAGAAGGCAAGGCCTTACTTGCAGCTATTTTATATTACTATTATGATTACTATTATATTACTATTATATGTATGTAATAGTAATATTGTTCTAATCACCCTTTAATTCTTTGGGATGAGCCCATGAAAAGATGGAATCTTTAAGACATGGATTCTTCACCACGCCCCCAAGTTGCTATTAGTTATAAATAACAAATATTATATATACACATATATTGAATATATATATATATTTCTTGTGTGTGTGTGTGTGCGTGCATGTGTGTTTGTACTAGAGCTTGATCTCAGACCCTAGGCACTGTTCCTTAGCTCATTCACTCAAGGTTGGCTGGTGTGCTACCAATTGAGCCACAGCCCCACTTTCACCTTATGCTAGTTAATGGGAGATAAGTGTTCCAGATTTTCCTGCCCAGGCTGGCTTTGATCCTGGGCCCTCAGTTCTCAGCCTCAGCACCTGGCTAAAATACATGTATTTCTGATGCTTGTCAAAGGTTTCATTTTCTTGAGACTCCATAATACTTCCCTTGAAGTGTTATTACAGTAAAGTTCACACTTCCAAGCTATTTATATGAACTAGAAAGCTGTGTTATAAAATAACAAAGCTATATTATGAACACAGGTGATTTAGAGCCTGGACTTAGGAATTTGCATTCTGCAAGGCATAGATGGCTCACAATTCTGTCCAAGAGTATTACCTTCTACTGATGAAGCTTCTTCATGGTCATGTTTTGAAAGCCAAGAAACAGTGATTGAATCTGGTATTTACTGGAACATCTGTATCATATTCCATAGGATGTAAAGAAAAATCAAAAGATAGACTTCTAAGTATTTTCTTAGTCATCAAAACCTTTCTCAAGCACCAGTGGCTCATGCCTGTAATCCTAGCTACTCAGGAGCCTGAGATATGAGGATCGTGGTTCAAAGCCAGTCTCTGTTAGATGCTTATCTCCAATAAACTACGGGTTAAACAAAAGCTAGAATTAGACTTGTAGTAGAGTGCTAACCTTGAGCAAAAAAAAAAGCTCAAGTACAGTGTCCAGGCCCTGAGTTCAAGCCCAAAGACAGTGGAAAATAACAGATAAACAGATAATACATACATACATACATACATACAGGTCATGTTTATAATCCTAACTACTGAGAAGGTTGAGATCCCAGGACTGAGGTTCAAAGCTAGACTGAGTATTAAAGTCTATGACTGAGATTCTTATCTCCAATTAACCAGCAAAAATGAGGACACTGAAGTGTGGCTTAAGTGGTAGAGTGCTAGCCTGGAGCAGGTAAGCCAAGTGAGAACTAGAGGTTCTGAGTTCAAGCCCCCTCTCCCCTACACACATAAAGGGAAAATTCTAGTGAATTAAACAATTTCAAACTGAGGCAGTGTGTCTTGGCTGCTCTCCCGGTTCATTACAAGTCTCTCTGTTCTTCTATCTCAAGAAACAAGAGCAGCTTCTCCAATCATTTATCAAAGCTGCCCTTGGCCCATCTACCCTGGAAAGGTTCCATCTTCTCCTACTCATGGGCTCATCCCAAAGAATTACAGGGTGATTAGAACAAAGGAAAACCCATGATGCCAGAGTCCTCAGAATCTCATTAGCAAATGAGATTCGGTCTTCCAATGACAAACCAGCCAAAGCTTATGCTAGAATAGCACCTCTCTTTTTGAAGCAAAAAAGAGATAAATGCACTAATCAGAACAATAGTTAAAAAATACAAATGGATTAAATATTCCATGTCTTGGGTGGATAATATAGACCAAAGAGTACACTTTTTCCCCCTTTCCAATACCCTTAGGGAGAGAACCTAATAATGTTTTCGATAATAGCTTTTGGATAATAATAATAGTTTTGGATATGGCTATTCATTTTAACTGCTTTTAATTTTATTATTATGGCATATTGTTATAACTGTTCTATGTTATTGTTATTAACAACTTACATCGTCTAATTTTTAATTAAACTTTACCATGCACATGCGCACACACATACACACACACACACACACACACACACACACACATTGTGTGTATATATACTGACTATACTTTCAAATTTCCACTAGGGGTTTTCAAACACTTCCCCTGTGGACAAGAATCTGCTGTACAGATTCACAGTCTCTACTAAGAGAGGAAAAATCCACAGGACTACTATTTTTATTTTGTAAGTACTGGGGCTTGAACTGAGGATCTTTCATTTGTTTGGCTTTCTTGCTCATGACTGATGCTCTACCATGTGAGCCACACCTTCAGCTATGCTTTTTGCTGGCCAATTGTGAGATTCTCATGGATTGTTCTATCCAGGCTTGCTTGAATCACAATGGTACAGACCTCAGCCTCTTGAGTAACTAAGATGACAGGTGTGAGCCACCCATGCCTGGTCACTTAGGACTATTCTGAATCACCCATCTTGTTTGTTGTGTAAGAGCTGACACATGTTGTAGATGATTGCTTCTTAGCACGTCTTTTGCATGAGCACAGATGTTCTTTCCTAGGCTGGAGGTTTGACATTCTCCTTCCCTTCTGCTTACCACTGCCACTGTCATATGCTGGCCTCCTAACCCTTCAGTGCTACCATGCCATCCTAGGTCCAACCATGCACTCCCATCAAGAGAGTCTTAGGTACTTTGGAGTATAAATAAGAAATAGTTGGGGCTGGGAAGGTGGCTCAGTGGTAGAGCACTTGCCTTGCATGCCTGAGGCCCTGGGTTCGATTCCTCAGCACCATATAAGCAAAAAGAAAAAAGCCAGAAGTGGCGCTGCGGCTCAAGTGGTAGAGCGCTAGCCTTGAGCTGAAGAGCTGAGGGACAGCGCCCAGGCCTAGAGTTCAGGCCCCATAACCAGACCCCCCTCCCAAAAAAAAGAAATAGTTTCCTGATGTTTTCTAATATCCACCCATCTATCTGTCATCTGTTTATCTTATCTATATATCCTCTATTTTAAAATATCAGCTATTTCTCTACCATCTGTCTATCTCCTATCAGTCATAG